TATATATACATATATACATATATATGTAGAGGAAAACAACAACAAAATAATTAGACTGCATTATTAAACTGAACTCAAAGTAGGAGCAGAGAATATGGGCAAAAGAAACTAAAAGTTTCTTAATTAAAATCAAATTTGTCTTACATTTGGACTTCGGGGAAAAGTATTGCGATGCTCAGTGCCAACCACCAACATCCCCTGCTTCTCAACTTTGAACTGGTCTTTCATGTGCCGCTCGACCAATTAAAAGTAAACAAAAATTAAATTATGCAGCTACAAAAGCTGCACGTAGAAATGCCGAAAAAGATTGACTACCCCCCCACCACCCAAAACTTCAATTGAATTAGAAAGCAGCACTGGTGGAAGAAGAAGCAGAAGCAGAAGAGGGAGAAGAGGAGGAGCAGCAGCAGGAGCGGAAAGAGAGCGCCAAATGTTTGGTGTGGCCCAAAGGAGGAAAGGTGGCAGCCCATTCAAGTGCGGCGAATTCAATTTCTGTTTGTATTTCTTTTTTTTTTCGGTTACACCCTGTAACTATTTAAAAGGTGTACAAAGGATGTAATTTAATCGGACGAAAGTATGTAACAGGCAAAAATATAAATATATCTATAAGGTATATTTTTTACATACACATTCAAATGAGATTTTTGTATACACCACAAATAATACTAACCATATTATTTATTTATATGGTTTATTTGTAGTTACTTAAACGAAATATTAGCTGAAATATCATTAAAGTCATCTCATTTACATTCTATTAAATAATTTACATTGTTTGTTCTGTTAAGCCAAATTCTATTTAAAAAAATAATAAAAATGTAAAAGAAATTTCATTTTTCATTAATTAACTTTAAATAAATAAACACCCAAAATGAAATCAATTCTGCAAGGATTACAATCACTTTATCTTCTTCTTTATCTTTATCTTCTTCTTAAACTTCTTCTTAGTTAAGAGTCTGCATTATTCTCTTTTTTGCTATGCAGGGTATCTGCTAGTCGGACACTCACTGCTCGCCACCATTTCACTACAAATTCTTTGCAGTATTTTTGGCAAAATGGCGCAGCGTATTGTGCTGTGGCCATTCGAGGGGGAGAGCAACGCGAATGGGATGGGGGGAGGGCGGGCTTGGGAGAAATTATAGTCAAAGAAGAAATTTGATTTTGCAGTAAATGGCGAATAGCGAACGGTAAATGGTAAATGGTAAGCAGATAGAGAGAAACGCAGTCTATTCAAACCGCCAGCAACGCTTTGTAATTGAATTGAGCGACGAAAAAAAAGCGAGTTGCGCTAAAAAAAACCCGAAAAGAAACGAAAAGAAAAGAACTAAGCAGCAAATAAAGGAGACGAGCACAGTATAAAAAGGCAAACAACCACAAAAGGATGCGAACAAGTGGGCAAGGAGAGACAGAAGAGAGGAGGGAGAACAATGGCGACGGTTGCTAATAAAATAAACGAAAAGCTTTTGTAAGCAAATTGAAAACATAAACAAACGAAAATTGATCAACAAAAAAACAAAAAACACAAAAAAGAACAAACGAACGAACAACTAGAAAAAGTCAATGTGGGTGGGGGGAGGTGGGTGGAGAAGCGCACACACAAAAGGATAAACCAAAAATGTTTTTACTATGCAAGCAGCAAAACAAAAGGCAGCTAAAATGATAACAACTACAACCAACAAAAAAACTAAACAAAACGAAAAGCTCACAAAATGCATAAGAATAAAAAGTTTTTTAACGTCACAATGATAAAAAAAACACAATAGCAAAGCACAATAAACAAATGTATATGAAATTCAATTTGTACGAAAATAAACAAAATGGCGCCTCTGTGTGTGTGTGTGTGTGCGTGTGTGTTTGTGTGTGTGTGTGTGTAACAACAGCAGCAGAAATTCGATTAAAACTTTTGCACTGCCCAAAACACACACACAGAGAGAAGCCCAAATTAAAGAAAAACAAGCAGAGGCGCCGAGCAGCGCAGCCAGCAGCGAGCAGCATTAAAGTTTTTGCTGCGACTAAAAATTCAAGCAGCAGCAGCAGTCATAAAAACGTGCACGTAAAATTAAAAAAAAAAGATGTAAAGTGCGAGTGTTGAAAGCTACAACAACAACAGCAACAACAGTTATAACAATGGCTGCTGCACTTGCTCATAAAATGCGGTTTGAGCAGCACTGGCTCAGTCTGCACTGCTGCCACAGTTTGAGAATCGCATGCAGTCATGCTCAAACATGCATACATACATATGTATGTACTGGCAACACACTAGTTGTCTCGCTCGCACAGCATTGACACGCCCCACACACACACACTTGGGTGCGTTCTCTCGCTCACTTGCTCTCGCTCTGTCTCTCTCTCCCTCTCTCTCTCTCGCACACACGTGCTTACGCACATTTTCGAAGTTCCTGTTTCGAACTCAAGTGATTTCCCCTCTTTTTTTTTCCTTTGCTCTATGTTAACTTTGTGCAGTTAGTTGTGCTCTTCTTCTTGTTGTTTTTGTACTCACTTTATCATGTCCGGTAGGCGTTCCGGCACTTTGGGGTGGGTGTTTTTCTTCACATAGCTAGATGATAGCGCCTCGGTGCACGCCAGCATTAGCTCCGTGGATAACTCGACCGGATGTTGTGGTGATATTTCTTTGGGTAACTGCAAAAACAAATACCGAAACACAAAAAATATAAAATATATACACATATATACACATATATATACATAACTGTAATTGTAACGGTAACGGTAGTAAGCAAAAAGTGTCAATGTACTCGAAAAATACTTGTTGTTGCTGTTGTTCGTGTTGTCGCTTGCACAATTGTTGCATGCTTTGCGGCGTTAGGCGACATTTTTTATGTGTGTGTTAAAAATTAATTATAAAAAGTTAACAGCCAGAAGAAGAACAACAACAGCAATAATAACATCAAGCACTCACATCAATCAAAATGTTAATTGATGTTTTTTTCACGCAACGCTCTTTATCTTTTTATTTATTTCTTCTCTCTCTTTCGCTTTGTTTCTTCTTCTGCTTTTTGATTACATGACAAGCGGCGTGCGCGCTGATCCATCAGCCAAGAAAGGCAAAGGCGATGAGTATATGTTTATGAAGTGATGGAGGGAGGGAGGGAGACGGAGACAGGCGACAAAGCACCGCAATAAGCACGAGCCAAGGCAAACAACAGCAAAAGCAACAACAACAACGAATGAAAGTGCGACGAGTGAGGCGCAGTTAAAAATATATATATTTTTTTATAGAATTCAAAAGCGACCGACAACAACAACAACAATACAAACAACAGCAATCACAATGGATAAGCAGAAGAAGAGTGGCTTTTTACGCGCTTTAACGATTGATTTAACAGCACAGGCCACACAAATATACACACACACACACTTATAAACATAAAACACTTATGTATGCCACATATAAAACAATAATAGTAAAACAGGAATAGGCAGAGTGCACTGCTTGCTAGCAAATACCCTGTATTTCAATTTATTATGGGCAAAGCATATAAAAAACACTTTGGCTGTACAAAAATCTTTCAGATTAACAACTGTGATCAAACAATAATAGAAAAACAAGAATTGGCACAAAGCACTGTTTGACTAGCAGATATCCTGTAAGCAGCTCTGGTAGAACTTGTACATTTGAATTAATTAAAAACACATTTTTGACTTTTGCTGTACGAAAATATTTCAGATCTTCTATGAATCTATCTATGAATGTATCTATCCAAGCTGCCTCCTCTCGCTTGTCACAAACACATGCACATAGTTAATATACCCACTCTAAGATAGCTCAATGGGTACAACGCATAAAATAGGCTCGCACGCAAAAGCTTGACAGGCAAATGCTGACAAATTGTCAAGCGGCCAAAAGGGAGAGGGACAAGGACAGAATGAAGAGCAGAAGGAAAGGGGAGGAGAGGAAGGGGGCGACACATTTGCGCTCGAATTTATAGGCAAAGCGACGACGGCGACCAGTAAATAAAATTCAAATAAAAATGCCACACACAAATCGAAAAAAATAACAACAACAGCGACAAAAAAACAGAAAGCAAAAGCAAATGCGCCAAATAAAAGCGTCAAAGAAAATGGCAAATAAACAAGCGAGCCAAATAAGAAAACAATAAAGTTTAAACTTGGCAAAAACTTCGTGTGCGTTGAGCGCAGCTCAAAAATGAAGTCGACTTTTAAATACACTACTACTATAAGGCATATAAAATGTATATATTATATATAAATAAATAAATGAGCAATAAATATTCAATACATATAATATTTATATATAAATAATTATACAAATATTTACTTTCCTAACCAAGAAAAATATATTTTTTTAATAGCAAAAAACTCATATTTATGTAATGTGGATTTTGAAGAAATCTATACAAATAAACTGGCACTCAAATACCCTACAAATACTTGTTAGAGTATTTGAAACAAGATAGAATGTTTTTTAGATACATCAAGGAACCGACTCAGATTGGCGACTTTTTAATTATATTATAAAGTAAACAAAAGTGTTCGATTTTTGCTATTCAAGCTATAGATATAGTAGTCTAATTTTGTTAGTCTTATTTATGTTAGTAATTTAATAACACACATAGCGACTGAGTTTGGTTAGGATAACTTGTTAAAGTAAATGTTTGTCAGGCAATAAGTTATCTTTATATAGTAGTTATATATAGTAATCTGATCTCACTGATTTTTTATCCAAATGTAAGCTTGGCTAGAAACAACAACATTTTTCGATCTTTCGATCGATGGGATCTATATAATATAGTAAACCGATCATGTTGACTGCCTACAGCAAAAATACCTATATTTGCCGAATTTTATCAAGACAAACGATTAGATGAACATGACTATATCGATTCGGCTACTTATGCTGAACAAGAATATATATACTTAATGGAATCAGAGAACTCAACTTCAAACTAGTTTGTAACAGTTGTAACAGCACAACAAAATTAAAATACCCTATCTAAAACACTAAAAACAAGGGAGAGAGAAAAAATCAGCGCCGCCAAGTTTAAAGTGGCAAAGCCAGAGGCAAGAGGCAAGGGATCAGGCCAACGGTGGTAAAGGGGCAGCAGACGTAAAAGGAACTATTGCCAATTTTGGACCGAAATGCGAGAGCTGGCCAATTTGAAAGCGTCTGACGATGATCTGCGGGGAATAAGGTTTTGGATGCGACGCCAAATGGCGACAAGTTGGCGACACTTTTATTGTGTGGCACTTGCCACACTACCAGGCCGATGGCTAATGGCTGATGGCTCACCTGGAAACTCTTGACGATGGCATCGAACATCGTCGCAATGGAATTGCCCAAAAGTGCATGACGCGCGATCTGTGGACAAACGGAGCAAGCATTCCGATACAGCTGCACGGCCAGGATGACGGATCTGCAAGGGGTGAATAGGAAATGGGGAATTTCAATGAAACTGCTTGTTAACTGCATGGGCTAACTCACTTCTTTGAGATCTCAGTGTTGTTGGCGTCGTCCATGCCCTTGCTGATGACATGGCTGGCGAGGATGCCCAGCCCATCCATGTTGAGGAATGCCTGAAAATCACAGGTCTGCGCCTTGGGTATCACACGCAACAGATTGCCCAGCGTCCGATCCAAGCCCTGAGCACCGCCGCCTTTAACCACCAGATTGAGCAGCTTGGGCACGTTGCTGTCCCGCTTCAGATGTGCGGGAAGTGCATCCAGCGTGGACAAGTAGTCGGCAGCACTGCGAGAGAGAGAGGGTGAAAGGGTGTAAGGTAATGCTAATATAGATATAGACTGACCTTAATTTAAATATTCTATAGCATGGCAAATGGATTTATAACAACAACAACTTCATTATATAATTTTTCACATTTTGAATGCTTGCAATCGTCTCAGAGATCTAACTTATGGATTAAGTGCTACTCACCACTGACTCATGCGTTGCTTGAGTTTCTTCATCTTCTTCTTGTAACTGCGCGAGTGTTCGCGATTACCGGTGGCGCCACCGAGTTCGGACAGTGTTGAGGAGAGATCACAATCCTCGTTGGTGGTGCTGGTGGCATTCCCACCATTGAGCAACTCATCCTCATCCTGATCGCCACGCGTCTCGTCCTGTTGCCGCTGACTGGGCATGGTTAGCTCCACGGCACGTTGTCGAATGTGCTCGATGTTCTCCTCATGCCGCCGGGCGGACTCTAGCTGCTTCTGTAGGATCTTGCGCTGGAGCTCCTCGGTGGTCTGCTGCTTCTGCACCTGCAACGCGAGCAGACGTTCCTCGCGATCGCGCGCCTTTTCGCGGGCCAACGCCTGACGTTGTCGCTCCTTTTGCTCCTGCATCTTGCCGATGCGCTGCTCCTTCTCCAGCCGCGTCTCGTTCATCTTCTCCAGCTTGAGCAGTCGCTCCTTTTCGAGCGCCTGACGCCGTCGCTCCACAGCCGCCTCCTTGGCTGCCTTCTCCTCAACGCGCTTCTGGCGCTCTTGCTCCAGCTCCTGGAGACGACCCTCGGCATCCTTGACGGACTCCATGAGATCGAGTCGCTTATTCTGCGCCTCGATATTCTTGATGAAATTGATCTCCTTCAGCTTCTTGTCCTCGTCGTGAGCCTTCTCGATGATCTGCCTCAAGTAGATCTCGCGATTTTCGGCGGCACGTTGCAAACGTCCCTCCATCTTCTGGCGCTTGTCTTCGATGAGCTGTTTCTTGACAGCCTTCACATCCTCGACACGTATGAAAAGTTGCTGCAACTTGGCCGCCTTCTCCTGCTGCAGCAGGATGCGTTTCTGGTGAGCTCGTCCCTGCTTCGCCTGATACTTCTTCAGCGTTTCCTGCAGCGAACGACGACGCGACGGCGATGATAGTTTCTGGTGCAACTCCTGTGCGCGTCCCGGATGACGTGCCACGTAGGCCTGAAGAGTGGCCAATGCCTCGGCACGTTCGTTCCACGACATGTCGGAGAGGAGGGCTTGATAGCGCAACTCCAGACTGGCGTTCTCATCGTCGCTCATCGTCACAAAGACGACGGCATCGTCGACGAGTGTCTGCTCCGTGCTATCATCCTCGTGCTCCTCCAGCTGCACCTCGCCGTCCGTCTCATCTGTCTCGGTGTCCACATCGATTTCGGTGCTTTCCAATTCGCGTATTTGACGCTCGAGAGATTCCTGCACCTCGACAAGGATGCGCTCATTGCGCTCCTCCTCGACATCCTCGGCATTCTGCTCCTCGATCTCATCGCAGGCACTCAGCAAGAATGCATTCGGCTTCACACAGCCATTGGGCAGCTTGCAGCGTGCAAGGCTCTCGTAGAGCTCACCAATTGTCTTGGAGAACTCACAGTTTGTCTGAATCTTTATGTCAATCTTGTTGTGGTCATCATTGTTGGCTGCAGAAGAAGCGAAAGATTAGGATTTTATTAAAATTTATGCATAAGGAAGGAACAGATTTGTCTTTAATTAATTGTCTTATGTAAGCATTGAAGTAATTATTAATTTAATTTAGTCATTTTACGGATTACTAAATATACTAAGATATCTTAAATGTATACTCCATATTCTATGTCAGACTCACACTCAATATTCTCATCCGTGGCGCCACAGGAGTTGCTGTTGCTCTGCTCCTTTTGCTGTTTGCGCAGAGCGTTCTTCTCGCTGCGCATGTACTCCTTGTGGAGCGAAGTCATCTTGAGTCCAGTGAGATCCGATTTCTGGCGCTTGATGATGGAGGTGCGTTCGTTGAGCGAGGAACTTGCCACATTGCTGCCAGCAGAGATGCAGTTGCTGCTGCTGCGCATCAGAGCAACTGCCGGCTTTGGCTTCTCCTTGTTCTTATCCTTATCCTTGTCAGTGTCTTTCTCTTTATCATTATCCCTTTCCTTATCGTTGATGTCCTTGTCTTTATCCTTGTCTTGCTTTGTCTTGATATGGGCAGCTGTGCGCTGTGCTGGAAATGAGTTGACCTTTGCCTTGGCATTCTTAATTTCTGGCCGGGATGCAGGATGCGCCAACATCTTGCCCGATTTAGCCTTTGTTTTAGTCTCAGCTGCCTTGGAGGCGACACTCTTTGAGTTGCTGTTATGGGCCTTATCCTTATCGTCCCTTTGCTCGTTAAGCAGCGCCAGTGTGGGCAGACTGGCATATCCTGTGGGCTGATTGAAACGATTCGACCAATGCATGCTCGGCCTGCGTCGATTCTTCACCGTCAGCCAACCATCATTGTTATCGGACGACAGCTGTTTGGGCTCCGAGTGACGCTCGTCCAGCTTGAGGGTGCTCCTCGAGCTGCTCAGCTGCTCGTTGCTCGCCTTCAGTGTCGACGTGGAGCTGGCAATGTCCTCGCGTGAACTGCGTCCAAGTGTGCTGGGCAGGCTCACCCGCTTGCCAGCCGTCAGCAGGGAGTTTGTGCTGCGTTTGGCCAACGGTTTGATTGCAACACTTGCTGCCGCAGCTGCCACAGCATTCCCATTCATATCCAGCATGGTGCGCGAACGTGCCGACAAGCGCGAGGCAACATTGCTGGGCGGACCATAGCATTCGGTTTTGCTCGACGGACGTGGCGGAGGCGCAGCACGACGTGCCGCAAATGGTTTCACATTGCTGTTGACATTGCTATTGTTGTTGTTGTTGTTGTTGCTGCGTCGCAAGCCATTTACGGGCGCTGTTGCCTTTGCCACAACTTTGCTGCTGGACAGCTTGGTGTGTGGCGCAACTGCTGCTGCTGTTGCTGTTCCAACTGCTGCTCCTCCTCCAGCTGCTGCTGCTGCTCCTTGCTGCGCGTTGCCCTTTTGATTAACGCCACGCGTTGCAACTGGTCGATTTAGCACACTGGAATATTTGAGTGGACTATTTTGCATGTTGCCGCTGGCCGTGCCCAAGGCCGTTGCTGCTGGCTTCTTCTCGGGCAGCGGTGCAATCTGCTTGAGCTGTGTGCTCGGCGGCGTTGCCTCCTTGCTGGCCTGGGCCGTCAGCAGCGCATTCTCCATGGCATCCAAGCTGGCAACGGTTAGCTGCAACGATGTTGGCTCCAACACAGCGCCAACACTTGGTTCAACAACTGCGGATTGTGCTTCATTTGCGGCTTGTGCTTGTTGCATGTCAGTTTTATTCTCCATTGGCGACTCCTCAGTTGCAACTACAACTGCTGCTGCTGCTGCTGCAGCTTCTTCTTCCACTTTTTTCTGATTAGCTGTGAAAGGTGAACAAATGTTAATAGCTGCAATGCAACCTTTGAAAACATTTTTTTCTGAGAGTGGTGCTATAATTTTGATTGCAACTGTAAAGCTCACCTGCCGCAGCTGCTGCTGCCTCCAGTTCAGCTGCCTCCTTTTTGGCTGCCTCCCGTTCGGCTGCCTCGCGTCGCATCTTCTCGCGCACATCAGCCAGCGTCAGATGCGGATCCTCGAGATCTGTCTGTGAGTATTGTGTGCTCAGCTGCACAAATGGCTTCTCCTCCAGCTGGGCAGCTGCTGCTGCTGCTGCTCCTGTTGTTGGTGTCGTTCCCTGCGGAGGCGGTGCATCCAGTGCATCCGAGTTGGGTGAGCCACGTGTGGTGCCCCGTTTATTTGCCGCAAACAGTTCGCGGACATTGACACGCATCGCGCCACGTGGCAGCTGCTCGTAGGCGCGCAACAGTTTCTTGGGCGTCACCCGGCCGTCGCAGCACGGCGATGTCTTGCCGGAGCTGCAGGGAAAGAAGGCTGGACTGGATTTGCCCGAGGCAGTGGGACTGCAGAGACTCTTGGTGCGCACACGCGGTGTGGGATTACTTTTGCGTACCTCCCAGGCCAGGCTCTGGGGACGCTGTTGCAGCGGTCGCGACTCGTAATCCCAGCTGACCTTGAACCACTCGCTGAGAGCCTTAAAATCACGCACATAGTTCTCCAGCACCAGGATGGCCTCCTGGCAACTGGATATATTCTCATAGCACTCCACGGTCTGATAGATCTCGTTCACCGCACGCTGCAGATTGCCAAAGAGCAGGGCCCAGTAGCGTGCCTGCAGCTCCGACTTCTTGTCCCGCCCCGTGGAGGCGCTGCGGACACGTGGTCCACTATTGGAGCCAGCTGCGCTGCTGCTGCTGTTACTGATATTATTATTGTTGTTGTTGTTGTTGCTGCTGCTGCTGCTGTTGTTTGGCTGCTTGGAGCGGAGCATTAGAGTCGTGGGCGATTGGGGACAGTGCTTGGTGGGCGTCTGTAAGCCATTCGGTGACTTCGGCGGCGCAACTGGCGGCTTGCGGCATGTGGGCGTTGTCGAGTAGCCTAAAAATGAGCACACATTAGTATTTAATGGAATTAGGTGACTAATAGATACTTTTTATTTACATTATTTATTAAATTAAATGATTGAATGTGCTTTTTGTTTATTTAATTATTTAAAAACAGAAAAATACAAAAGAAAAATTAAAATAAATTCTATTTTAAACTATACATAAGACATAAAATAAATTAATATTTAAATTAAAACAATCTACAAATATTTAAAAGATTTTCTAGGAGTGTTTATTTAAATGTAAAATAATTCAACAGATAATCCCAATCAGACCACAATAAAAATAGTTTGAATTTAAACTGACTTGCTGACTGTAGCCTAGCGACTGTTCCAAAGAAAGCTATATATATATATATATATATGATTACTGGGGATATATAATAAGTCTGGTTTTGTTGAGATATCTTCGCAAGCCAAAAAGTGGTTTAGACAAGAACTCAGCTCGAAGTTATAACTTCGATTTGAAAGAGAAAAACGATTCGAAATACAAAGAAAAAGATGTAGAACAAATTCCCAACTCGACTGATCAGGAATATATATGTGCATATATACTTTGTTGGCTCAGCAACATCTTCCTCACTTCCTGGCACACTTCACGACAATTTAATAATACCCTTCGAAGGTGTATGCAAAAAAAAGCCGCACACGAAAACTAAAGTCGCAAAAAACAAACGATAAAATTGATTTCGTTTTTTCTATTTTTTCTTCTTTTTTTTTTTTGACTTACAGTCGCCATTGGCTAGAACGTCTCTTGCATCTTTGGCTGCTGCTGCTGCTGTTGCTCCGCTGGGGCTTGTCTCATCGCAAAACTGGTAGACGAGCAAATTTTTCGCCTCGCGCCCCTCGCGACTCAGCACCTCTCGCATCTCCATCGTTGCTGCCTCGTTGTTTGTTTTTGTTTTTCCTATTGTTCGTTGTTTCTGTCTCCGTCTGCGTCTCTATCTCTGTCGCAGTCTCAGTCTCAGTCGCTGTCGCTGCCCACGCCAACGACGACGTCGCAACGCAGCTGTTCACGCACCTTTTATTTAGAACGTATTTCGACAGATGAATTGTGTAAATGGGCACAGCTGTTGTTGTTGCATGCACAAAACTATAACTATTTGATCAATTTTAATTGATTGCTTTGCAATTTTATGCACTTCACTGTGTGTTTGTTTCTTTTTTTCTATTGTATTTTAACGGCTGCTGCTGTTGCTTTTGTTGTTGTGGTTGTTGTTGCCGTTGTGTCTGCTGTTGAAAATTTTGCAATGGCAGCTAGCAACATTTTTGAGCAATGAGCACGCTCTACACAATTTTTGAACTAGACACACACAGGCTGCTCAGCTGAGAGTTTTCAAATGCAATTTGTTGGCAGTTGTAGGTATTGATGTTACGTGCAGGTGTTTTTATTAGAGAACTAAAAATAATTTTAAATCGCACCACGGACCAGAATTGCATGCCAGCCAATCAGCTGTTCTACTGCCCGTCTGTCAATCGAACAGTGTGTACACACATTGCACTCGTACAGCATATCGATTACAACTTTTGTCAATCGATGCATCGTACATCGTATATATCGCACACTTCGACAGCTTATCGCTAGCTGGAAATATCGTTACGACTCTTCAGCGATATATCTATCATATGGCAAATTCCTTTAGGTGCAATATTTAATATTTTCAATTTACTTTAATTTAAATCAATTAATATGATTGCTTTCAATAAGTTCTGCTCATTTGTTTGCCAAATATCGCAAGTCAATTGAGTGTTTCACAATCACACACAATGCACCGATAGTTTGTAGTTCTGACATCACTAATTCGCATTCCGTCACAAACAGTGTGTGCAAAGAAGAAGACAGGCACGCACGGACTGTGATTGCGGAGTTTTTGTTTTTGCATTCTTAGAAAAAAAGAAAATTGTTCGATTTTTATCTTAATTAATTAGCAATTTGTGCAATTGCTCTTAACAAATATTCCGTCTATTGTGCAACGAAAAATACGTAGTAGATATACATAACAGCAACAAACAATTAACTGAAATGAAAGTGGAAATCGTGTGATGTCATGTCGACAACGACGACGACAGCGATGACGACGCCAGCAGCAGCAGAAGCGACGTCGACCGTTCTTGTGAATTGAAACTTCCTCTGTTCTCTCCCTTTCTCACTCGCCCCCGTCCCCCCGCGCCGCTTTGTGTTTTGTGCCTGCCGCCTTCTGTTTACTGCAATTGCGGAGATCCTTCCAAAAGTGCGACAAGTGACGAATAAAAAAAAACAATTCCAATTTTCATTCCACCAAAAACTCCAACAAATGTGCCCGTGAATAACAGCACAAAAGAGAAAAGGTGAAACGAACCAAACAGACACACGCACACACACACACGCACGCACCACTTTTGACCGTGTGTCTGTGTGTGGAGTGAGTTTTGTTTTTGCTGAAGCACTCAGAAAAAAATAACATAAAAAAGCAACCTGGTTTTTTGATTGATTTCCCTCCAAAAAAAAAGAAGAAAACATTAATTGACGACAATTCCGCCCAAAAGCAACAGGAGCAGCTGCTGCACTTTGCCACGCCTACTCGACACCGTGGTACCGTCCTAAAAGCTCCACACACACACACACATACATACCCCTCCCCCTTCCACCTGTCCCCCTTCATACACACTCATCATGGCAGACACAGAGACAGTTGTTGGGGATCTGCGCATGGAAGTGGAGCGTCTGACACGCGAACTCGATCAGGTGACCAGCGCCAGCGCCCAATCCGCTGAATATGGTCTATCGCTGCTGGAGGAGAAGTCGGCACTGCAGCAGAAGTGCGAGGAGCTCGAAACACTCTACGACAACACAAGACACGAACTGGACATCACTCAGGAGGTAAGCAAACAACAAAGAGAAAAACAAACAAACAAATAAAAGCACAACTCAATAAAAACAGCTAAACCGATCAACAGCTGTGTTCTTTGGCCTCTGTTGGCTATCTTCAAGCCAATTGCCGTTTATCTATCGACACTCACACACATATACTCTATATATATATATAGATATAGATATATATACACTCACTCAAACGCAGACAGCAAACTTCTAGCTAGACCATAAAGTTTTGCAATCGGTTTCCAATTTGTCTTGTTGGCAGCAAACACAGTGCAACCTCAATATGGAGTCAAGTGTGCACTTTGCTCAATTTAAATTCACTTAATTTTATTGTCTTGGAAATATTTGTATCTACTTTATGCTTATCTGAATGAGTTATAAATTGCTTGGATGTAAAACATAAAATAAGCCTTCTTATATTTATTTATTTATCTCTTATCTATTTTCTTTTTTTAGTTTATTTTTCACCACTGCATAAAAATCGGTGCCTTTAATTAGCTATCTTTAAAATCAAATTCAACTTATCGAGTGTTACCTGTATTTGCTCATCGGCTAACTGCTCCCTCCTCTCCTCTCTGTCTCCGTCTATCCACTTCTCCTCTCCTCTCTGGCTACCTCTTTCTCTCTCTGTGTCCGGCTCTAATAATCACGAATGATTCAATCGTTTCGTCTGCTCTGTTCTAGTCAGAAGTTCATTTCGCTCGTTGTTGGTTAAACTGGGCTTTTGCGGTACTTGGCGCCGCCTCAGTGAACGCCCACACGCCCCGCTAACCGCTCTCTCCCCACCAAAACTCTCTCTCTTTCTTTCTCTTGCCTACCATTTGGCTCTGATCATGGTCAATTTGGTTTGCGCTTTATCATCGACTTTGTTGCTTTGTTGACTTTGTTGTTGTTGTTGCTGCTGCTGTTTTTATTACAACTTGGCCAATGTGCCGTGTATTTTTTGTTGTTATTTTTTCACCATTCCATTTTGCACCTATGAATGTGTGTTGGGCATAGCGGCAGCTTTGGCCAACTGTCCGACTGGCAATTAGCCATGGCAATTGTTTTGGCATTTCCGCTGGAATTTCAACGTGCAATGCGCCAAAGCCCAGCAACAAAGTTTGTCCTTCAATTTGTCGGGGTTTGGCGAGAGGTTATTTAATATAAATAACTTTTGCCTGTCGGCTCATTATCATTTTCCTCTTTTTTTCCACCACTTTATTTATGCTGTTTCCTTTAGCCTGTGGCGTTAATTACTCCACTTCGTTGCCAAAACAAAGAATCGATTGTTGGAATCGCGAGTGGAAATGGAAACAAGTCGAAGGGCGAAAGGTGAAGGGGTGAAAGGTGTTTTTTTTTTCACTCGTTGATCTGTATTTGGCCATGGGATTTAATTTATTGTTGTGGAAAGGGTTTAATATAGACAGACAATGATTTTTAAATTGATTAAATCGCAGTGGGGGTTTTTCAATTTTAAAATAACATGACTATTGTGAAACATTCTTATTTCTATTTGGATTCAGTTGTGGGAACTAGGTTTATGGGAACCATTGGCTATAAAAAATATATTCGATATTTTTGTCCATTTGATGAGGCAATTTTTATGTGCATGAAAGCTCTCAAATCTTATTCAAAAGCGTTTATTATTAGTCAATTGACTTTTTAGTTTTTTTCTGCTAAATTGATAAAGTTTCACACAAACTTTTAATTAACAGCTTGGAAATTAGTTGCCCCATAAATCTATCAAACTAAACCCACTAATTCAACTCGGATATCGATAATATTATTATTATGGAACTTTTCATTCAGCTTACAACTTCATAAAATGTTGGATCAGCTATAATGCCGCCATGCTCGTTTCTCACACGTTTCTCCAGTATTTGTGAAGGTAATTCAATTTAGTATGCCTCCCCCTCACCCCCCGTCCCCTTTACGCAAGTTGATTAATTGGCCGACAGGTGGCGCCCACCTGCCCATTAGTCCACTCGCTTGATAGTTTCCAGCTTGTTAGCTTTGAACTCAACTGAACTTTTACGAGAGCGCAGCCAGCAAAACACAACCCACTCACACACACACACACAGAGACACACACACACCACCATGCAACACTATCTCATTCACACACACACACACAGATTAATGCATGCTTAAAATTAAAATTCAGAGCGGAAAAAAAATAATTTGCTGCGGGCATTTTTGTTGCTGGTTGCGTGCAATTTGCGCCGGTTGAAGGGAAAGGGTGGAAGAGGAAGAGCACGAGTAGGAAAGGGGGAGGGAGGTGATTCTACAGAATGGGCGACATATTTCCACTTGCACTTGTAATCAAGATATCAGCCTGTGGGCGCGACAACCTGCAATGCCATAAGTCAGCGACGGTTTGGGGTGGGGCGAAGTGGAAGTAGAAGTTTATCGGTGGTTGAACGGAATTAGCCGGGCCAAAATGAATGGAATATTGTGCAAAAAGTGACGCCGCTGGCACAAAATTTTTGTGCACAACGGGGGCGAATTTTCAATTACAAGTCTAACAAAATGAATGAGAAATTGATGAGAATGCAATCGATGATGCACAAGCAAAGGCAAATATACAAAGCAAATATTTGTACAACGTTTGTGTTGGACAATTTATTTAGTTGCACAAAAGTGGTTGTAACGAACATGTTGTTTTGGACACTTTGTGTAACTGTGGCAATTAAGTGGCAGGGGCACGGCCATAAGACGAAGCATTCTCTATTTATAGATATATATATTTATATATTCTTGTGTGTTTGTGGCCATACTTTATGGCTCGCATGTACGTCGAGCCAAGGACATTTCGCTTGGGGACTTGCAGCAGTCAGAGAGTCGTCCTGTGTTGTCCTTTTGTCCTGCTGCGGTTCTGTGAGTTGTTAACTCGCATGCTTTTCTCCCTGCCGCCCCAGACAAAAAAGCCAAAAAGTTTTTAATACAAACTTGAATAATTAATGTCGTTATTTGCACGACAAACTCCAAAACAAAAAGTGCTTATGAGTGGCAGAGGGGTGATGGGGGCAGCGGGGATTGAGCTGCGGCATAGTTATGCAAATTGAAGTATTTTTAAGTGAGCGAAAATAATGTGTTCTCAGCAAGTTCTCCAGTTGAGCAAAATGCCTTAGTGTTCAAAACCAGGATGTCAAAGCACGTATAATTTTGGTTCCGGTTCCGGTACGGTTTAAATTGTTTTCAAATTCTGCTGTAACTGGTTCTTTAAAAAGCAATTTTAGAGATTCGGTTCAGGTTCTGAATTTCAATCGGTAAAGTTTTTGCTCATAGAAACTAGATATTTTTCTAGAACACAAACAATTCTTTCAGAAACTTCCATAAAAATACACTGATTTGAAATGCCAAGATCATGTTTGTCATAGTTCCAACTCTAAACCGATTCTATTTCTATGATAAACGTTTTAATATGTATAATTTTTAGGTACTTCGAAATTACCATACAAGACTACAGTCAAAACTGAACGAAAATTCATATTTCAACTAAAATACTTTCTCATTTTATTCTGCTTTTCATTATTGCCAAGATGACTATTAAATTTGTGATCCACAATAGTACAAATCCACAGCTAACAAACTATATTGAAATAGTATTTAATAGTTAAGAACCTAGTCATGTGATAAGAACTCAACTTAACTAACTCTAAAAAAAAGAAATCGAATAAAATCCACTCTTGCCATAATCCGTGCACAAATTCAGTTGGCAAACTGTGCAGCCAAAAGCCGTTTAACGAATCCTTGCCAGACACTTGCAGTAATAACAACAACAACATCAAAGCGACAAATAAACAGGACCCAGCAACAGACGACGAGGGGAGAGGAGAAGGACAGATAAAAAAAGAGAAATCCCGACGAAGAAATTATAATGATTTGACGCTGATGTTCTGTTCTGTTGGCGCAAATTGCAATTCTACGGCAATCAAATCCGGCAGCAGCAGCAGCAGCAACAACAACAAGGACAACAGACAATTGGGAGCTGCAACTGGGGATGGGAGGAGGTTGGGCTCGCTGTCAAGTTGGGGTTAAGGGCGCTGGGCCGAAGGGGTTAAATGCAGCGCTTGAGCGCTGACAAAACATGTTTCCGACATTGTTGCAAGCGCAGTTGTCATTATACCCTTTAAAAAAATGGCTATAAAAGGGTATAATAATTCGTATGAAACAGGTGGCCGAAAAAGGGGAACAGTGTATGACCCTTTACTATATTCTTGATATAAATATTCCTGAATCTCCATCTATTTAAATTATCTCAAAAATTGGGAATACAGATTCCTATATGCCAAACATGTTTAATTGATATCTTTGATAATTAATCCTTTTCTTATGAAATCAATATTTATGCATCACAACTTGTTAAAAGATCAGATAAGGTCAGTGTTGTAAAGTGTGAAACAGCTTGCAACATCAAAGTTAACTACAGGGTATCTTTTAAAACAGTCTAATTTTTGTACATTTATATATACATTTCATTTTTTTGATAACTAATTAATGTTTTGCAGAAGAAGATAAGAAGTTTTTAAAAAATCAGTGTTGCAAAGTACAAAACTGTGCGAATAAGCAGCTTGCAACTTGAGGCAGCAACAGCAACAGCAGAGTTCAAGCACAGGGTATCTTTAAGACCAGTCTCATTGTGACTACTTAACTGTGGTTGCCTCTGCACAGGCTTTCGCGGTTGCAAGGGAAATGAGCAGGAAAAATGTTGCAAGTGTAGCAGTCACCAGCAAGCCCCCGCAGCAGCTCCACCCACTCCACCAGCAATGTTAAATGTAAAAGCAGCGCCGTCAAATGAGGAGAAAAAGTGTTGCTGTGGAGGCGCCACACTGATGAGCAGATCGCTCGCAGCTGCTGAGGATGCGGCAACACGACAAACACTTGCAACATTCCATTCATTTTCTTTCTTCTTTTTTTTTTGAGGGTGGGGGGTGGGGCGCTATGCTGGCCATGGCCATAAGGGCCATGCAATTTATTTGTAGCAAACATATTTGGACCCTGATTGGCTTCCGACT